ATCAAGTTTGTGGCTGCCGCTTCAGGTGCTTTGCTCCCTGTGACTGGTGTGGGGAATGCCAAGGTAATGGGAGCTAATGGGGGGCTTGTGGGGCTGGGGAATGTGTTGCTGGTAGAAGGTTTGTCCGCTAACCTCCTCTCTGTGCGCCGGCTGCAGAAAAGCAAGGCCAAAGTGACTTTCGGCCCAACCAGCTGCCGTGCAAAGCTTGGGAAGTTGCTGCTGTGGGATTTGGAGGAGAAGAGCAGCTGCATCAAGGACCTATGGCAGCTGCCCATCATCCCTTGGAATGGGAAACCACCAGCAACGGCAGCGGCTGCAGCAACGGCTAAGGCATCTGCAGGAAGAGAGGAGACTGCACCAACCGATGGGGCCCTGGATGCAGTCAAGAAGGTGCAGCAGCCACAGCAGCCACATGGTGAGGTGCTTGCTGGTGTGGATGCGACCGCTGCATGGGCAAAGGCTTCATCTGGGATTGGTGAGGCCGATTGGGAGACGTGGCACGAGAGGTTGTGTCACATTAACATTCCGATGCTGCAGAAGTTGGTGAAAGATGGGAGCTTGAAGGGGCTGGAGGTGAAGAGGGCAGCAAAGGAGATTGGGAGCTGCCCTACATGCCTTGAGACCAAATTCACAAAGTTTCCCTTCAGCAGCAGCATAGGACCAGTCAAGGCTCCACTTGCACTTGTGCACATGGAGGTGGTGGGCCCCACACGGGCCCCTTCTCTCTCGGGCATCCGCTACTTCTTGACCATTGTGGATGACCACACGCGTGCGGTGTGGGTGTACCCTCTCAAGACCAAGGGGGAGGTGGCAGCGGCTGTTCTTAAGGAGTGGATGCCGAGAGCTCAAAGGGAGAGCGGACATAAGGTGAAGGTGATCCGCACTGACAACGGGGGAGAATTCATTGGCGCTGATTTTGAGGCGGTGCTGAAGAAGAAGGGGATCCAGCATCAGCTCACGGTGCCCTACAACCCTCAGCAGAACGGCGTGGCTGAGCGGTTCAACCGGACCCTCCAGGAAGGTGCTCGCACTCTTCTTGGGCGTGCAGGGCTGCCGGATCCGTTTTGGGTGACAGCACTGCGGCAGGTCGTTGTTGTGAAGAACCGGGTGCTGGCGACTGTGGGGGACAAGCAATGGGTCCCCTACACCAAGTGGTATGGGAGTGCACCAGCTGTGAACATGCTGAGAGCCTTTGGGTGCATGGTGGTATTTCATGTGCCTAAGGAGAAGAGGGGAAAGTTGGAGGCTTCTGGGAGATGGGGTGTGCACTTGGGGCTTGCTAAGGATCACAAGGGCTGGCTGATTTGGGACTTGACCAGCCAGCAGCTGATTGTGTCAAGGGATGTGAAGTTCCTTGAGTCCTTGTACTACAAGGAGTGGAAGCAGCAGCAGCAGAAGCTTCCTACGACACCGCTAATTGTCGAGGCCGATGAGGTGCAGCGGCCTTCGAGGCAAGTGGAGGTTTCTGTCTCTGAGTATGAGATCTCTGGGGTAACTGAGGATGGGGGAGAACCTGAGGTGGAGGAGCAGCAGCTGCAGCAACAGCAGCCGCAGCAGCAGCAGCAAGGTGCTTCACAAGGTGCCGCACGTCCTGCTGACCGTCCCCGGAGGGAATTGCGCCCTCCTAACTGGCTGACCTATCCAAGCTTTGGCAAGCCAAAGGTGGTACGGGCTGGGAGTGTGGCTGAGCACTGTGATGAGGATGAGATAGCACACTGCTACTGGGCAGCCGTTCCTGAGCCCAAGACGCTAGCTGAAGCATTGAGCGGGCCGGATGCTGAAAAATGGAAGCAGAGTATGAAGGAGGAGTATGACTCGCTGCTGGAGAACGAGACGTGGGAGCTGTGTGAGCTGCCACCTGGGCAGAAGGCCATTTCTTCCAAGCTGATCTTCAGGCATAAGTACGGACCAGATGGGGAGCTGACCCGCTACAAGTCAAGGCTTGTGGCTAAGGGGTTTCAGCAGACAAAGGGGAAGGATTTTGACGAGATCTTTGCTCCTGTGGGGAAAGGCATAACACTGAAAGTGTCATTGGCAATGGCAGCAAACCGTGGATGGCGGGTGAAGCAGATGGACATTACCACCGCCTTCCTCAATGGGATCATTATGGAGGAGCTGTACATGTTACAGCCTGAGGGGTTGGATGATGGGAGCGGCAGGGTGTGCAGGCTGAAGAAGGCCATCTATGGCCTGAAGCAGGCTCCTCGTGCATGGTACCACAAGCTAGAGGAGACACTGCTGGCTGGGGGGTTCAAGAAGAGTGAGTGTGACCACAGCCTGTTCCTGCTAGAAGAGAAGGAGCAGTTTCTCATGCTCCTGGTGACGACATCCTGCTCTTCTCTGAGTCGTCTTCAATGATTGAGCGTGTGGAGGAGATGCTGGAGATGCAGTTCAAGTGTTCCAAGATGGGAGATGTGAAGTACTACCTGGGGATGCATGTGGAGAGGGACCTTGACAAGGGAGTGTTGAGGTTGCACCAGAGGAAGTACTGTGAGGGGCTGGCCGAGAAGTATGGGCTGCAAGATGGAGGGAAGCCAGCCACCCCACTGCCTTCAGGGTTCACAGTGGAGCCCTGTGCTGATGAGGAGGTGGTGGGTGAGAGTGATAGGAAGCTTTTTCATTCCATGGTTGGGGCACTCAACTATGCGGCTAACCACACGCGGCCTGACATTGCCTTTGCTACATCCAGGCTTGCAAGTGTGGTTTCACGCCCCAGTCATGAGCAGCTGGAAGCGGCCAAGAGGTTGGTCCGCTATGTGAGCGCTACGGCATCAGTGGGCTTGGAGTACAGTGCTGTGCGACAGAGGCTGCAGAGGGGTGCAGCTGATTTGGGCAAGGGGGAGATTCTCCTGACCTGCTACACCGACGCCAGCTTCAACTCTGTGAAGGCGGATGGCACCAGCATTGGAGGCTATGTGTGCCTGTTTGGAGGTGGTGCAGTGAGCTGGCGCAGCAAGAAGCAGAACGAGGTGGGGCAGTCCTCGTGTGAGACAGAGTACATGGCCCTGCATCATGGGGCAAAGGAGGTAGTGTGGCTGAGGCGTCTGTTGGAGGAGATCGGAGTGTGCCAGAAGGAGCCAACCGTGATTTTCTGTGACAACGAGTCGGCAGTGAAGCTTGCCAAGAACGCCTGCCTTCATGGGCTGACAAAGCACATCAGGCCCAAGTGGCACTGGGTGAGGAGGCTCCTGGACAAGGAGTTGCGACTGGAGATTGTGAAGACCCATCAGCAGGCGGCTGTCATTCTCACCAAGCGCCTGGCTGAATCTGAGCATTGGAAGGGCATGAAGCTTGCTGGGATGAGTGTGCATTGAGGGTGCATGATTGAGCTATGGCATGTGGGATGATGGTAGGCAGCCAGAGGGGGAGTTTGTTATGTGATGCTATCACTTGCATTCACGTCCGTCTGCCTCCCATCATATGTTTGTGAGTTGCATGCGTGGTGTGAGCGTGTGCAAGAATTTGTGTTTGATGTGGTTTGGTTTTTCTGAGTGTGTGTGAATGTTATTTGGCTTGAGCAGATATCTGAAGTGACTCCTCTGCTCAAGAGCTTTCCGACGAACCAAGTATCGCTTAAATCGGAGCACGAACAAGAAAATTACGAACGTTGGAAGTTCGTATGCTTTTGATATTTGGTTGTGGTGACTATGGGAAGTTGTGGGGTTGACTCAATATGGGGTACAGACTTTTGGGGGTTGGGAAATTCGTCTTTTCTACTGTAGTTGCTGCCAAATGGTTGGGAGAAACCAAACCAGGTTGGCAAGTGTGGCCAAGTTGGGTTGAGGTGGATTGAGGAGGTTGGGATAGTGACAAAGGTCAAAGTTGGGTTGCCTATGGGGAAGGGAATTGTGTGGCATGGAGTTTCCTTTGGTTGGGGACTCCTTGGGACCTTCCCTCTCGTCCTCCTCTTCCCTCCTACCTGGTTTAGTGCTACTCTAACTTCCTTGTGTGTTAATCTTGTGAACTTGTGAGACTCTTGTGATTGAGTTAAGATTCTATGGGAGCATACCCCCTAGTGCGCCGAAATTGATAACTCAAGGAATACTTCACCTTTTCGTACGATTCAACTTGGAAATTGTAGCCACGGAGTAGAGCTACATTATATCTGAGTTTGGTGAAGTTTTAATTGTGAACGTTTCGTCGACGGCGTTTCTTGTGAACTCGAATTTTCTGTCCAGAAACTAGGCCCAACGATTTTGTGATATTTCGGCTCCTAATCTTCATAGACTCCGTCCTTAGTCTCTAACAAGTGGTATCAGAGCTGATTAAGGACTTTGTGGAGAGTCTACTGAAGTGTGAAGACCCTCCTAGACACACCATGGCCTGTGGGCGTGCCAAAGTGGAGTTCTGGAGGTTGGATGTGACTTCCGCTAAGGGGAAACTCTGTCGAAATTTCGTTGGCGCCGACACTTGTGAAGATTGTGTGGATCTACATTGTGACCAGCAAAGGGGGGAGCTGAAACCTCTGATTGGGAGCAGAGGAGATGAATCAAGGGAGTGGAGATGCAGCTGAGAAGAGGAGTGAACCGCCACCATCCAAGATCGAAGCGTTGGATGGCTCCAACTATGAGGAATGGAGCGGGCGGATGCGGAGCGCCTTCAAGCGCTACAAGCTGCTGAAAATTGCAATGGGAGAGGAGAAGATGCCGGGGGAAGGAGATGCCCGCGATCGGTGGATTGAGAAGAGCGCGGTGCTGTACGACCTCATCCTCCAATCGGTCAACAACGACATGTTCCAGCACATCAAGGATTTGTTGGAGTTGGATGATTCCGGACCGAAGGCATGGAATCTGCTACGCGACGTGATTCAGCCAAACACGCTGCCGATGGTGATTGTGTTGGAGAAGGAGTTGGCTGCCCTCTCCGTTTAAGGTCGACGATGGAGGGGGAGAGCCAGAGGCGGGGAGGGCTTAAGTTCCACACCCCCACCTCCGTTTTCAGCCCCACCTGCAGCTCTACTTCCCGCCCCCTCTGCCCAACCTGCTTCAGGCGACCCTCACATGGGCTCATCACCCAGCAATCCCCCCCCAGATGAACCGTCGCCTTTGCAGGCACACGGTGGAGGTTTCCCCGGCGCAATCCTTCCCCACCAACATCTGGTTGCCGCTCACGATGACGCCCTCCCCACTGGGATGGAGGTAGTTGGAGTTGGGGTTGACAGAATGATGAGTGAGGATGAGGCTGCACTTATCTCTCATACCCCCCTTCCCACCACTGCGTGCAGCCCCACCCCGCCCCCGACAGCTCAGCTGAGAGGGCTGGAGGGTGAGTTGAGGCCGGTGCGACAACCACATGCAACCCAGCCACATGGGCCGGCGGTGCTTCACTCATCTCTCGCTGGACCAGGTCACCCTCCCTCCCTTACAGACCTGGAGGCGTCGGAGCCCTCATCGGGCTTGGGGGCGGCTGTATCTGACTTGCTGGCGATACAGAACACTGGCATACCCCTCCCTACTCCCACCCCCCCGGCCCCAGTGGTACACGCCCACGAAGCCCCCCTCATGGACCTCCCTCTTGCAGCCCCCATCCTGCAGGAACCGTTTCACCCTTCTCCGATGGAGACCGATATGATCTTCAGACCGTGCGCCTCTGATGCAGATGTAGGTGCACCACTCCTGCCTGCCTCTCCCCACCCATCCCCATCACCAGCCCCACCTATCACCACGGCAGATAGTTCCGAGGGCACGGCCACGGCCGACCCCACCGACACAGCGACGTCACCAGACGAGGTCGTGAGGTGCCCCACATGCCTGAGCTCCCTCGCGAACCGCCGAGCACTCCGACACCACATGCCATTCTGCCACCCTGCCGACGCAGCTCGCAGGGCGCAGGCCCTCCGCGACAGGGCCTCAGCTCTACCTTCCCTAGCAGAGCCCCGAGCCCAGGGGATGCAGTTCACAGATGCACAGTGGCGGTCGCTTGACTCCGTCCGGTGGTCGGAGTACTTTGCCCCGGAGCGCATTCATGCCCGTCCTCTTCGGCGTATCCCCCCGAGGGTCCGTGGTGGGTATCTAGACATCCTCTGCGCCATCTTAGCGCGGGTCTCCCAGGACCCAGAGGCACCAGGCCCTACTCTCCTCTTGGCGGCGGCACCGACGCTCCTACTGGCTCCGGCGACACCGCCAGAGCGTTCAAACACGGCCGCCATTGCAGCGCGCATCATCCGTTTTGGACGAGGTGAGTGGGACGAGCTCATCTCTGAGGCCCTACATCGACGTACCCCCCTTCCTCTACGAGCAGCACGACACGCTCGCGCCACCACCTCCTCCCCCACACCGGATGACCGTCGCATTGCCCGCTGCCTACGTCTGGCGGCTTGCAATGAGACCTCGCGGGCCTGCGCGGCCCTGGAGTCGGCAGAGGCGGCACCTGACACGGAGAGTACGATGCAACGTCTGCGGAGCAAGCATCCCATCGCAGAGCGACCGACTCCAGATTGGCTACCGACTTTCCAGGATACTGCCCTTGTGCTCTTTATAGATCACCTCCGCCGCGCCATCTTCACAGCCCCGCGCGGGTCGTCCGGAGGACCGACAGGCTGGGTTGCCGAGCATCTTCGAGATACTTTCCTTGCTTTTCCTGAGAGCCTCCCTAGCCTGCTCGCCGTGTACCAGCTTTGGCTGCGAGGCTACTGCGCCCCGGCAGCTCGGTCGCTATTGGCATCGTCCACCCTGGTCGCTCTCGCGAAACCGAACCTGGATGTGCGTCCTATCGCGATAGGTGAGGTTCTGATTCGCATCCTTTCTCGCGCAGTATGCTTGCAGCTGCGGGACCAGATGGCTAGAGTTTTCCTCGCGTCACAGCAGTTTGGGGTGGGCGTTACCTGTGGGACAGAGGTCGTGGTTAGAGGCGTTCGTCGCGCCCTGGATGACCACCCTGACTGGGTGGTTCTTCAGCTGGACGTGGCGAACGCCTTTAACTCGTTTCATCGAGACGCCATGTTCCAGGCCCTCTACACTAGTGCTGAGTTCCGCTGTCTTATTCCTTTCATTCGCCTTTTCTACGGGACACCCTCCGATCTCCTCTACCGGGCGAATGGAGGGGTGACCACCATTCACTCGGAGCGCGGGACCCGTCAGGGCGACCCGCTCAGCCCTTTCCTGTATGCCCTCACACAGCGCATGGCTCTACAGCCAGTTCTAGCTGAGGGCGATGTCCAGCTATGGTCATACACAGATGACACTTACGTGCTGGGCCCTCCTTCCAGGGTGCTACACCACTTCGCAGAGATTGTGAGGCACTTGCGCGAGCTGGGCCTTGCGGTCCAGCCACACAAGTGTCTCGTCTACGGCAGGGATTTTGTGACTTCCAGGGAGGTGGAGGCCTTCACGAGTCTGGGGATTGAGGTCGCTCGCAGAGGACTCACCGTCACGGGAGTGCCGGTGGGCTCTGACGCTTTTGTGGAGAGGAGCCTACCTGAGCGTCTGGAGAGGATGGGGCGCGTGTTGCCGTGTCTTCTGAGACTACGCCAGCCCCAGACAGCGGCCCGTCTACTTTCGGCATGCGTCAGCACGCGACCGCAGTATCTGGCGAGGACGATCCCTCCGACCCCGGCTGTACGTGCCAGTTTTGCACGGTGGGATGAGCGGTTGGGGGAGACCTTTCAGCAGCTTCTGGTGCCTGGGACTTGGACTTGCAGAGAGGACGTTCGTGAGGCTGCCCTGGACCAGATCTACCTCCCCATACGTCTAGGGGGTTTTGGCATCCGACGCATGGAGCGTATCGCCCCGGTGAGTTATGCGTGCTCTTAGGTACAGTGCGCGCCGATCCTTTGCTCCCTCCCAGTGTGCGGCGCGAGCTTCCGACAGAGCTTCGCATCGGATGATGTTGACCAGATCAATCGATCACTGCGGACGGCGCTGGAGGGCCTCCCACGTGACATCCTCTCTCTCTTCCCCCCCTGGCACTCTTGTGTCTCTGCTGCCCCTGATTCTCTTTTCACAGGAGTGAGCCGCGTCTTGGAGGCGCGGGCCTTGGAGTCAGTCCGGGCCCGTCACACTAACCCCTTGCACCTTGCCCGTTTGACATCCCTTCAGGGCGCAGGTGCAGGCGCGTGGTTGACGGCGGTGCCGTACGCAGACTCACTGCGCATCCCAGAGGCGCAGTGGCAGGTGGCCTCAGCTTTCCGTCTCGGCCTCCCTATCCCCCAACTAGCCCTCGCAGGTCGGTGTTCTTGTGGGCAGGCGATCGACGACATGACGGTACCTCACCACGTGGTGCGGTGCTCCCGCTTCGGCGTCGCCACCGTCATCCACGACACCGTGAAATACATGCTTCGGGACTTTGCTTCTGAGACAGGTTTCGCGGTGAAGGTGGAGGACACCACCTTGATTCTGCACTTGGAGGCAGCTAGAGCGCGACTGCAGGGACTCTTGGGGACGGGGGACGGGGTACCGGGACAGTCACGGGCACCGTGGGGACAGCAGCAGCAGCAGGGTGGGCTCGGTCAAGGGGCTGGTGGGCAGGAGGGCCGAGAGGGGCAGGATGGGCTGGCTAGTGGGGGAGAGGAGGGGGGACAGCAGCAGCAGCGGCAGCAGCAGCAGCAGCAGCAACAGCAGCAGCAACAGCAGCAGCTAGGCCAGCAGGGGCAGGAGGGGCAGACCCGTAGGGGTGAGGAGAGGGGACAGCATGGACAGCAGCAGCAGGGCCAGCAGGGGCAGGAGGGGCTGGCTAGTGGGGGAGAGGAGAGTGGACAGCAGCAGCAGCAGCAGCAACAGCAGGGCCAGGAGGGGCAGCGGCAGCAGGTTTGTAGGGGAGAGGAGAGAGGGCAACAGCGGCAGCACCAGGAAGGTCAGCAGGGTCAACAGGGGCGGCAGCAGGGGGGTCAGCATGGGCAGCGGCGTGTGGGTCAGCAGGGGCAGGCTGGCTGGGAGGAGGAGAGGAGACAGCAACAGCAGCGACGACAGCAGGAGGGCCAGCAGGGGCAGGAGGGGCAGACCAGTATGGGAGAGGAGAGAGGACAGCAAGAGCAGCAGCAAGAGGGTCAGCAGGGGCAGCAGCAGGAAGTTCAACAGGGGCGACAACAGGAGGGTCAGTGGGGCCAGGCTACTAGGGGAGAGGAGAGAGGACAGCAGCGGCAGCAACAGCAGCGGCAGGAGCAGCAGCTACAGCAGCAGCAGCAGCAGCAGCAGCAGCAGCAGAAGCGGCAGCAACAGCAACAGCATGGCCAGCAATGGCAGGAGGGGCAGGTTGGTGGAGGAGAGGAGAGAGGACAGCACAGCCAGCAACAGGAGGTTCAGCAGGGGCAGGAGAGGCCGGCGAGTGGGGTAGAGGAGAGGGGACAGCAGGGGCAACAGCGGGATGGCCAGCAAGGGCAGGTCGGGCTCCGGGTCCAGGGGGCGACCCAGCCCTTGGGTGCGGGCTGGTTCGGGGAGAGAGGGAGAGAGGAGGTGGCTGGGGACACGACGGCGGGAGCGCAGGGGTTAGGAGGGGAGGGTATGGAGGGGGGGATAGTGCGAGGGTGCTGCGGGGTTTGGGGTTGGGGAGAGGAGATGGGAGGAGGCAGGTGGGTGGGGGAGAGCATAGAGAGGCAGAGACGACAAGGGAGGAGGCACAGAGGGACCAGGCACAGCAGCAGCCAGTACAGCAGCAAAGGCAGGCTGGACGCACAGGCCGCATAGGGGCACCAGCCCGCATTCCAGACCTGACTTGTCGCGATATAGAAAAAACTTTGATGGCGTTGGTAAACGTCTCCATTGCAGATCCACAGCAACAGGGGAATACCGGGCTTAGACGAGGGGCCCCAGTGCAGATAGGTGTTGCAGCAGCCAGACGAGTGCAGGACAAGTTGCGGGATTGGGCACCGCATCTAGAGGGATTACAACCGCCACCACATTTTTATGCTTGTGTAGTGGAGACGTTTGGGTTGCTCAGCGAGCCAATGAGGCAGTTTCTAGGGCTTTGTGCGCGGCGGATTGCACAGCGGCGTAAAGACTTGGGGGGGGGGGATGACGGGTCAGCCCGGATTTTCGAGACCGGACTCACTACACGACTTTCCGTGGCACTGCAGCGAGCGCAGGCTCAGAGTATTATACAGCACGCGGTGCGGCAGTTGGGAGGGTCAGACGATGGGTGGATGCCCGCACCAGTCCCTTTGGGTGCAGGGCAGGGCAGTTGGCATCACATTACTGGCTGCTTTGAGAGCGTGGCAGACATGCAGTATATGTACGATGCATATGTATAGGCGTTTAGCGATTGTGCTTGAAAGGATGTGTCCCGCGCTGTGGTGCGGGTTGCTGTGGTGTTTTGGTCCTTGTTTCCTTCCTTTACCGTAGTTTCTTCCTCTCTTCTTTTCCTCTTTCCACCTTTCCTTCGGCCCTGCTCTTCTTCTCCAGCTCTTCTCTCCGCATCACCCTGTCTTTGTTCCACCATTTCTACCTTCCTCTAATACCCCTTATCTTAAGGGCGCGTGTCTTTTGGAGTGTATTTGTAGTTCATGTTTTTTGTTCAGCTTTATCCATTTGAACTTCGGTTGACCTGTGGTCGACTTTCTCGACTATTTGTGGTCAAGTCGCAGTGTTAACTTTCACATCAAACAGATGGAACAACAAAGTTCGACTAAAGAAGTTCGACTATGTACAGTAGATTCCGAGTCGTGCTCAAATTTCGTAGGTTACCTAGTCTAGACGACAAAGTTCGTGACGAATCCGGCTACAGTAACCTGGTACGTTGTTTTTCGTAACCGTCGTACAATTCGCAAATTCTCTGTGCACGAGCAGAAGAACACACGTTTGGATAAACGTGCACGTGAAAATTCGACCCTAGTTCAGTGTCCTTCAGTTTCATCAAACCATGAACTGGGACACACGATTTTCGCAATCTAGGTTGTACGAAATTGGCGCGAAAAGGGTTACCAGCAAAAAGTTGATCTTTTTTTCGAACTCTACACCAAAAGACACGCGCCCTAATTACCCCGACCTTGTTCTGTCAAACATTCTCCCGTTTGCCCTTGGATTCCACCACAGCCGTCAGTTCTGCACAGGAACACAACCCTTGTAATCATGCATTCACGTTTTTCCGAATAATTCTCACATCACGCAACCCAGCGCCATCCTATCCACTCCGCCACGTGTCTTTCATTCCACCGAATTACAAGGAGGCGACGACACGCTGCTCATGAGCATCACCGTTGTGCTTATCCGCGTCCCTTCACTCAAACACCAGTAGCGTAACGTTGCGCTTAGGAGCATCTACCAATGGCCGATCGCCCGCATCGCGCGGTCATAATCTACGGCGACGGGCTGCTCATCGACGGCCCGTTTCCGGCGTCGCGTTCAGCGGAGCCCTCATCGCGAATCTCCGCGTCTGCCTCGCAGCGAACGCGAACGCCTCTGGAGACAGTTGACGTGCCCGCGCTGCACCGCGTGGCGGCTGACGGCGTGTCCGGCCTCCTGGCTCTCAGACAGCTCCCCTCGCATGGTCCGCCGCCGCCGCCGCCGCTGCTGTTGCTGCTGCTGCTGCTGCTGCTGCTGCCGCCGCTGCTGCTGCTGCTGCGAATTCGTTTCTCATTCACTTTCCCCGGCTCTATACCTTCTCTTCAAACGAGTCTGAATCATGTCCTAGCTCTTCGTGACAGAGCAATTCCCCATGCGCCGCTGTCCCCATGACGGTCAAAGTGCTTTCGCATACCCATGCGCTCAAACACAAACATGATGCATGACATGACTCAGGCGCAGACCAATCCCCATGCCGCCTCATGCCTGCATCATCACCACACGGCCCGTGACATGTCACACAACTCCCTCGCATGTCCGCGTCCTCACATGCCTCCGTTCTCCGTTTCCCCATGCCCGCCCCCTGCCCGCGCTGCTCGCGTGCCCCCCCCTGCCCGCGCTGCTCGCGTGCCCCCCCTGCCCGCGCTGCGCGCATGCTCCCCCTGGCAGTGAGTGCGGGGCAGCGGGAGGCGTTGGAGCTGGCGCAGCTACTGGACAACTTCCACTGCACGCACGCCCCCCTTCCGCAGGTGCGCTGCTGCTCCCCCTCCTGCCCCTCCCGCGCCTGTCCTTCACCGCTCTCTCCCTCGCCACTCTCTCCCCTCACCCATTTCCCCCATCACCCCTTCTCCTTGGTTTCCCCTTTGCCTTCCTATTATCGTTGGCTTCCCCTTTTCCTCCCTCATTGCCTTCCTTGCGTGCATCCAGTCCCCTCCGCAAGCCTCCCTCTCGTGAACTCACCTTCCCCCCCCTCTCCATCGCTCTCATTCTACTCTGTGCTGAACCCCTGTGTGGGGCTGCTCTGCTGCTGCCCTCTGCTCAGAGTTTCTCATTCACCCTCCTACCCCCGCCTTCAGCTTTCCTGTCTGCCTCTTGCCTATGCGATTGTGTCTGCATGTGTGTGTGCATGCATGTGTGCATGTGTGTGAGCATGTGCGTGTTTCATGTGTGTGTGCATGCGTGTGTGCATGTATGTGTTCATGCGTGTGTATGTGTGTCTGCATGTGTGTGTGTGTGTGTCTGTGTGTGTGTGTGTGTGTGTGTGTGTGTGTGTGTGTGTGTGCACATGTGTGTGCATGAGCACCCCCAAACCGCACACGGCCATCGATCAGCAGGAGGCTGCGAGCACCACACACGCCAGCGACCCCAGCAACCCCACCACCGCTGCTGCTGCCTCCGCTCCTCACATCTCATGGGAAACCAATCCCACACCTATGTCTGAACGGTACGCCTTCCACACACACCATGCTACACCACATTATTGCCACGGCCATGGCTCCCATACTCACCCTTCGCCATTATCCATCTCTTGCGGCCGCGGGTTTGCTGTGCCTGCTGCCTGTGCTGGCTGCTTGTGCCTGCTGCCTATGCCTGCTGCACACTGTGCATTCTTCTTCCGATTGGATCTGTTATTTCACCTACTTCTCCGCTCGCCTTTTCGGCCTTGTCTCCTCCCTTCGCCCCCATCCTCACTTTCCCCCTTCCCCTCCCCACCGCACCGTACCACTTTGCCTCCCCTCCTCTCGCCTCCATTGGCCCCTCACCGTTCCCACTTGCCTCCGTGCTTCGCCTCCCTTTCTCCTCCCACCCGTGCAGGTTCATGGGCATGGAGGCGGCGTTTGTCTCCTCCTCCCCAGTCTCGCTTGCCCTTGCCCGCACCGCTGGCTTCCGCACTACCCACCTTAACCGCGCTGCACTCCCCTCCACCTCCCACCACCTCCTTGTCAACGGTGACTCCGATGACTTCTCTCGCACTTCAGCAGCAGAAGGCAACGCCGATGCAGGAGGAGACGAAGAAGCTGGGGCAGCAGTAGCAGCAGCGACAGCAGCAGCAGCAGCGCCTGACCCATCAGTGCTGGCAGCAAGGATAGTGGCGGCGCTAGGGTTGCACAGGGAGGAGGTTCCAGGCCCTCCCCCCAGCGCTGCGGAGAGGGAGGAGGGCGAGATGGACCTTCTACTGCTGCACGTGCGCCCTGCTGACGTCGCCTCATGGGGCGGCAGCGCTGTGGAGAAAAGCGCTGGTGGTTTGCCAGCAGCAGCTGCAGTAGAAGCAGGGGTGGGAGGAGCAGGAGCAGGAGGTGTGGTGACAGGTGCAGGCAGCGGCGAGAGTGGCGCTATGGAAGGGCAGGTGTGGGGACAGGCAGAGCAGGCGATTCAGTGGGTAGACTCGCTTGTGGCGGAGCTGTTGAGATGGCGCGATGGCAAGGCACGCAAGGGGGAGGAAGGCGAGGGAGAGGAGTGGAGTGGTGGTGAGGGAACAGTAGTGTCCAGCGAGGTGACCTCCTCCTTGCCGCTGCGGGCACAGAACCACCTGTACCTTGCTGTGGTGCTGGGATATGGGGATCAGGGCAACCAACAGGTGCCTCCTGCTGCTGCTGGTGGTGGCGGTGCTGCTCCAGAGCAGTCAACTGAGGCACCCTGGTCACCCGTTCCCTTGCGCTCTCTTCCCAAGGTCGCATCGCCGCCCTCTGCTGCTGCTGCTCCTGCTGCTGGTGCCTCTGCGGGTGCCTCTGCGGGTGGCTCTGTGCCGTGTGTGCCGCGCATGGCCTTTGTCCCGTGGCAGAGCTATGAGCTGCGGGGGGACGAGCCCGTGGAGGCCATTCGGTACGCCTTCGTGCCACTTCTCATTGCTTCTTCCTCTGAGCTCGCTGCTTCTTATTGCTTCTCGCTGCTTCTTGTTGCTTCTCAAGTGTTGTCTGATTGTTATTCCTGTGGTATCATGTCCGTGCTTCCCTTCCCCCCTCTTGAATACTCCTCTAGTCTTATAATCCCATTCCAACCTCACTTCTCCTCCATCGCCCTACCCCCCACCTCCCCCGCACCTGTCCTGAATGTTGTTTCTGCTCTGGATGGCATCTGTTGGGTTGGTGCAGACGCCACCACCCTCTGCTGGTGTCCCGCCATCTGCCTGCTGTCACACGCTGTGATGAGGCAACACGCTTTGGCATGCAAGAGTGCATACAGGTGTGTTGCATGGAATGGCTTGGGTTGGCATGGGTTGGCAGGGAGTGGAATGTTGTGGACCAGTTTCACCACACACAGTGTTTAATACGTTTAATGGGACGGGAAGCACCCTAAAGCCTAAACTGGGAGTGGGCTCTGTCTGCATGATTTGTTGATACTTCAATGGCTGAAATCTGACGCCCCCTGTTATCTTTTTGCATTGCTTGTAGAATGGAGGAGACCGGGCCATCTTGGCAGATCGCTTTATATACGAGGTTGCATTCAAGCTGTGGAGGTATCCCAAGTATGGAGCTTAAACATTCTATAATCAGCTTTCATATATGTTTGACCCACGTTCTATGTCAACGTGATATCACGACAACAGAGATATTATAACATCCTTCATCTAAGCCCTTTAGTGAGGAGTAAGTTAATGGCTAGAAAACAAGTTGTCTAACGTTTTAATGTCGATTAAAACCCGAGTCTAGAATGGTAATATTACAAAAATACTGTCCTTGTGTTACGGGTGCAATGGATCATGGTAGCGAGGATTGCACTAGAGTGTCAAACGAGTACAAAGATGTGAGCGAAGGCATGAGCGAACATTTATACACGAAACATGCAAACGGTAACGCGGTGCGTGCGAGCTAGCTAGTGCTACGCTGGCGGCGAGGCTCGGGCTAGTCCCGAAGCGTAGGCCGACACGGCCGGGCCAGCAGTGCGAGGTTTGACAAAACACTGCGCGCGAGGTTGGCGAAGTCCCGTTAGCAGTAATGGGCGAACAACGGCTGTTGCTGTACGCGATGTAGTCGGGCTCCGTAAGGAATGCCGAGAAAATTCCTTACACTACCCCTATTTTCAAGAAGCCCCCTCCGCTACACGAGTACGTGTATATCGCGGAATCCCCGGCTCCTCAGGTACACTTGCAGGGCAGGGTGGTTTTCAATGTTGGCCAGGGGCACCCAGCTATCTTCAGTTGGCGTGCGGTCCTTCCAGCGAACGAGGAATTCAATCCTCCTGATTCCCGTGGGGTGGCGAATCCGGTGGCTCAGATTTTTTTCGGGCTCCATGATCGACTCCGATGCAGGACGAGTCATGGAATGCGGGCGATGACGGGGCAGTTGGCTGGTGGTTGGGATGTACGGGCGAAGTAGGCTAACATGGAACGATGGGCTGATGTACCAATCGGTCGGTAACAGTAGGTGCGCGGTTACTGGCGTGATCATGTGGCTGATTTGGAATGGGCCACAGTAGCGCGGTCGAAGTTTCGATATGTCGGGCAGTCGCAGATTTTGCGTGTCGAGCAGTATGTAGTCCCCTGACTGGTATGTGACCGGGCGGCGGTGGCGGTCAGTATTGCGCTTAGCGATGATGTTTGCCTTTTTAATTGCTTCTGCGGCTCTGGTGCGGGCAGCTTGCAGAATTTCGGCGAATTGCTGTGCACGTGGTGTTGGGTTGTCCGGACTCGGCGTCATGGGCACTGTAGGGTTTTGCCCGTAGTTCAGGTAGAAGGGGGACTGCTGCGTCGTCGCTGACGTGGCATTGTTGTACGCGAACTCGATCAGCGGCAGCTGCTGCTCCCAAGTGGTCGGGTCGTCGCACGTGGCACGAATCAACTGCTCCATCGTCTGATTCGTCCGTTCCGTTTGACCGTCGGTCTCGGGGTGGTACGACGAGCTGAACTGTAGCCGTGTCCCGAACTGCTCCCAGAGGTTTTTCCAGAAGTTGCTGGTGAACTTCGTGTCCCTGTCGCTGACAATCGCTGCTGGTATCCCGTGCACGCGAACAACGGTTGCGATGAGCAGGCGAGCGGTCTACTCGGCTGAGATCGACTTTTTGCACGCAGCGAAGTGTGCCATCTTCGTTAGCCTGTCAACGACGACCATCACCGCGTCGTTACCTCCAGGGTTCGAAGGTAACCCTGTGACGAAGTCCATGGTAACCTGCTGCCAGGCGCGCTCGGGCGGTGGTATCGGCTGCAATTGACCCGCCTTCCGCTTCCTCGAGCTCTTCATCACCTGACACGTGGGACACGAGCCCACGTGCTGCTGCACGTCGGTCAACAGCTCCGGCCACTAGTAATACCGCTGCAGTTGCTGTCGCGTTTTTTCTACCCCGAAATGTTCCGAGGTAATTCCGTCGTGTGCCTCCTGCAGTAGCAGCTCCCTCAGTAGTGAGTACGCGGGTACCCAGATGCGGTTGGTGCCTGTTTTTACGTAATAAACTCCTTTAGCTTCTGCCAGTTGCTGTGAATTTCCGGTCGTGAAAAATGGGTCGGTGCGGTATCCGTGGGTGAATAGGCCTGTTAAAAGCGGGTTGGTTTGGGCGAGTAGTATGGCATGGAGTTGGGCGGTAGGGCGGGTGAGTGCGTTGGCGATGTTGGAGGCGCCTTTTTTGTACGTAACCGTGTAGTGGAAGTTGGACTCGAGGTAGTCCAACCAGCGAATCTGTCGCGGATTGAGATTCGGTTGGGCGCGCAGGTACTGTAGTGATCTGTGGTCTGTCCGTACTGTCACGTCGGCGCCAGTCAGGTAACACCGCCAAACCTTGAACGCGTGCACGATCGCCAACATTTCGCGGTCGTGTATCGGGTAGTTGCGTTCGGGCGGGTGCAGCTTGCGGGACTCGTACGCAATTGGCTGGAGGCCGTTGCCGAAATTCTGCAACAGTACTGCTCCCACAGCGATGTCACTTGCGTGAGTGACGAGCTCGAACGGACGGTGCGGATCTGCGATGTGAAGCACGGGCGGTGAGCACAAGATGTTTTTGAGGGCCGAGAAGGCAGCTTGCTCTTTCTCCCCCCACGTGCACTCAACTGTCAGAAAGTAGGAATGAAGAAAGGAGGAGTTTCACTAGCAAGCAGTTGAGTACATATAGGAAACCCTAGATTGGGCTGTACTCGCTATAAAGTACCCCACTGCAGGCTAGACAAATACAACATTCTGACACACCCCCATAGCCAAAGTGGGGTGTAATCAGCACAATGAGCAGGTATAGCAGGAGTTCACAATAAGAAGCAAAGCTAGAGGTAATCACAGCGGGCAAGTGAGGAAGAGGAGGGACTGTGAGAGGAGAGAAGATGAGAGACGGCGGCTGAAGCTGCAGACACACGGGCAACAGGAGCTGCTGGCACAGTGGCTACCGGGACAGTGCGCACTGGACTACTGGAGTAACTGGCTCACGGGCTACGACGAGCTACAGGAGCAACGAACCCTCGGGCGACAGGCGCAGCAGACTCCCTGGGCTACCAGGACAGTGCGCCTCGGACTACAGGTGCTGCGGACGACAAGACAGCAGCCTCCACTCAACCTCCTCCAACTGTCCCACACACCCCCCACACACCCACTGCTTCACTCCTAACTCCACTTGCACGTCACCCCCCTAGTACCACTCCTTCGGCTCCCACACACCCACCCCCCTCAGCGGCAGCTGCAGCACTGGGAGACGGAGGAGGAGGAGGAGCAGGGGACGACGCACAGAAACTGCACCCCCATACCCCCCACCCCCAAACCCTAATTCAGGAGAACGGGCAGCAGCAGGGGTGGGGCGCCGTCAGAAGCACGGGGGACAGCGGGCAGCGCAGGGGCAGAGAAAACAGGGCGCCCACGGGCCTGGCGCAGCCCATACGAACCGCGTGCGGGCGGCCCGAGGCGCGCCCTGGCCTGGCGCAGTCCGTACGGGCCGCGCGCGGGCCTGGCGCTGCCCGTACGGGCCGCGCGCGGGCCTGGCGCAGCCCGTACGGGCCGCGGGCGGGCCTGGCGCAGCCCGTACGGGCCGCGCGCAGGCTGTACGGGCCGCGCGCGGGCCCTACGCAGGTCGCGCAGGCCGCGACGGGCGACGGGGGGCGACGCGCGGGTCCCCGTCGCCCGTCGCAGCGCCTCGCGGGAGCGACGCGCGGAGTGACGGGGCAGAAAGCCGCCGCGCGCCTCGGGGCACACGGCGGGCAGAAAACCGCCGCGCGCCTCGGGGCGCACGGCGGGCAGAAAACCGCCGCACGCTCCGAGCGCGCGGCGGGATGAAAAATCCGTCGCACTCCACGGGGCGTGCAACACACAGAGTAGCAGTAGCAGCGGAAGCAGTGAGGTGGTGGGCCCACCCACAGGATCGACCCAAGGGGATCGACCTGCTCTGATAGCATGTCAGAACTAGCAGTAGAAAGTAAGAATGAAGAAAGGAGGGGTTTCACTAGCAAGCAGTTGAGTACATATAGGAAACCCTAGATTGGGCTGTACTCGCTATAAAGTACCCCACTGCAGGCTAGACAAATACAACATTCTGACATCAACCCCCTTCCTCAGCAGGTCTGTCAGCGGAGCAGTCAGCTTCGCCATGTCGGGGACGAACCGGCGCACGTAGTTGACGAACCCCAAAAAACTCTGCAACTCGGTCAAGTTGGTCGGCGCGTGCCATGCTTGAATCGTCGCAATTTTCTTCGGGTCTATTTCCACTCCTGCAGCTGAAATAACGTAACCCAAAAACTCCAGTTGGTCCTGTAAAAACTCACACTTAGACGCTTATGTCAGTAGGCGGTTCTCACTCAGTATCTTAAAAACTGCTTCGATGTCCTGTAAGTGCTGTGCTCTGTCGGGGCTGTAAATCAGTATGTCGTCCAGATATACTATGACGCACTTATCTAAAAGCGGGCGGAAAGCTTTGTTCATGGTCATTTGAAAGGTGGCGGGGGCGTTGGTCAGTCCGAAGGGCATGACGGTGTATTCGAAGGATCCGTAGCGTGTGCGAAATGCGGTCTTAGGGCAGTCGGGCGGATTGACGCGAATCTGGTGGTAACCCCCTCGGAGGTCGATTTTCGAGAAAACTCGGGCTGTGCGCAGTTGGTCGATCAATTCGTCGGCTCGCGGGATGGGGTAACGGGATTTGATGGTAACCCTGTTCAGTGCTCTGTAATCTATGCACATGCGAAATCCCCCGTCTTTTTTTGGTGTGAACAGTATCGGTGCTGCGAAGGGCGACGAACTAGGGCGAATGAATTCCTTCTCGAGCAGGTAATCGAGCTGCTTCCTCAGTTCGTCCAGTTCGGGTTGGGTCAGTCGAAATTGTCGCTGTACTGTCGGGTGTGCCCCCGGTTCTAGTTCTATTCTGTGGTCGTGGGTCGCTGAGGTGGCAGTCCCGTCGGTAGGTCGTCCGGGAAGATGTCACTGTACTGCTTCAACAGTGCTGCCAGATCACTCGGTACATCGGCCAGCAGTTTCTGTAAATCCCCTCCTTTGTCTGCTGCCTCGGCTTCCCGAATGTCGACCGCGTACACGTCAGCTCCTGCCGCTACGGCGCGTTTCATCGTGATCGCGTTGACACGCAC